TTTCAATTTTATTAAATCAATTTGCAAATAATTTCAAGCCAGCGCACCAAAAAAAAAAAATACTCATTACAAAATTTTACCCTTTGATTTTGATCCCAACAATTCAGTTGAGAAAAAAAATGTTTAGAAGCTTCGTGATTCGTTACCGTAACTGTCAACTGAGTCTTCTTTACAACAAATTATTTCCCGTGCAATAAACCATTTCAAAATTGGAAAAGTATCATGGCAACCTTTCTTTCTTTATACATGTTAACAAGGTTAAGTTCCAAAGTTCTTAATGAAATTTATGTTTAAAAAGAAAATTAAATGATTCGTGATTCTTTTAAAAATGAGTGATCTGCATTGATTTTAAATAAGGATCGGCGGGATAATCTCCAACCAATTTTAAAAAATTAAACCAACCCTTATTAAAAGTAAAATTTAATTTCATTAGGTTCAATCATTCCTCATTTACATTATGAAAGGAGATTAGAGAAGAAACCCTATACAAAATCAAAAGGTATATATTAAATAAATATTTTTCTTATCTCCCTATGAAAATTTGCATTTTTGAACAATGCATTCACTATCCAATATTAATTGAAATATACAAAATGAAAACGCCATATAATGATGCCTGGGAATGAAGATGAAACAGTTGAAAAAATGAACAAGACACAGTTCATACTCTATATATAATTGATATAATAATAATGGAAAGCCCAATTTACATGTCTATAACAGACATTTTTTCCTAAACCAAATGGTCCATTATAGAGAAAAAAATTAATATAATAAATATTTTTTAGATGTTAAATTAAAAATTTTTAATTTTAAAATGAATTACTTTGAACTGGGTTGGCTCTTCGTGAAAACAAAATTTTTGGAAGTAAAACAACTTCTAAGAGCCTATTTTTTGTCAGGAAATGTAGATAAGAAATGCTTACAGATCTAAAACAAAGAGTAGAAGCAGGTGAGTTGGATGCAAATGAGTACACATTTTAGTAGAGAATGTAAAAAAGAATCAGCCGAGAAAGAATTGGACAAGCCATTATTTTGTATTATGTTGATTTAATACCCATAATCCACAATCAAGATTGAAATAGTGCAAAAATGGCTTTAACAAAAAAAATTTTTTTTTGACAAAAATGTTCATAACAATCTGTTTATTGACATCCAAATGTTTGTTTACAAAAATGCAAGTGGAAACATTATGTTACAATAGAAACATAAAGCGAACTGGATGATTTTTATTATAAAATGTTACAAATGCGCCCCACCAATCACTAATTAAAATTCACTCCTTCTTAAAAGAATCACGAATTAATATAATATATAGAAAAGGACATGTCACACGACTAATATATATTCCATGCGGGAAAATTGTATGGAAAAACTGACAAAATTTTTTATAGGGCTAATGGAATGGAACCACCAAACCTTGAGCTGAACAAAACAATTCATGTGAGATAATGACAACTATAATTTACACAATATGGAAATATGTATTACCTCCTTCCTTTACTTTTAATATGTTTACCCAAAATTTCAATATCCATAGTTTTTGAACCTTATATAAAAAATATTGCATAATGAAAAAAAATGATTGTTGTATGTATAGTAAATTTGTACTCGGAATGATCATTTTCCCAGCAACAAAATTATATACTAATGATCAATAGCTTATAATAATAATTGGGTCTCCACGAACAACCGTTATTTTCACATTATTATTGATCAATAGTTTATGACCGTGTGTGGGATAGTTGTAAATTGTGGTCATCAACCATTTGCTGTACCCCAGAGTGGTGTAGTAAAACCAATAGAGCAACGCGCATTACTGTTAATATATTCAGTCTTCACAAACAGCCACTTTTACATCACTTATTTGATGATTGTTACTTACTACCATAAAGGGACCCAAGGACAAGCACATTCGATTATTACACCTAAAAACAAAAACTTTGCAATGATCCTCACATGCCAACTAATCAGAAAAAACGTGATGAGGCCATACATCTTATATATTCGTAAAACAGAGAAGATCTAATGATCACATAATAATACATGACATCAGATTAAAATGCATTTGTGAAGTCTCATATGTTGGGACACTAGCTGTGAAATAGTTGCTTCTGGCAATAATACCTCAAAATTAGTATCTAAAATTGTTAAACAGATATCACATAGAAGAATTTCGATTTCTCTTTGTCAATTAATGAAAATAGTAAAACCTGAGATTCAGCAAGAAATTATAAACTCGATAGCAAACCCAGATATTTCTTGAAGAAATCGTACACCATGCAAGGCCCTTTTTCCTCTCTAGTTTGGAAAAAGATATATTGTTATCCTGTTAAAGGTATATTGTTATGTTAACAAAATTTATCTGGCTTCGAGAGATAAAATCTTGAGAAGACGGGGAAAAAACTAATTTTTAACGATACAGCATCTGAGTCCTCATCTGGGTCTGAATCGTCTAATGATGAAGAAGATTTTACTGTGAAAGTAGTGAAAGCAAAGAAGCTTGATTAGTAAACATATCGCATCCAACGATTAATAACTAATTATATCACTAATCTAATTATTCCCATATAAGTCATAGATATCCTCAATTTCATCATATTTTTGTTTAATAATAGGGGTGGCTGGCTTAGGTGTTGGAATAATTGGTCTATCATTTATCACACCATAATGTTCGACTGATGAAGCATGGCCTATCTTATGCCGACATGCCAATTGTCGTAAATATTGACGGCCAGTATCATTCTTACCTCCATGTACTCTGGAAGCATGATCGGCACCTATTTTTCTTAACATATATGAGGTAATTCTATGACAACTCAAGAATTGATTAAGTGGTACAACATTAGTATTTCCATCCTTATCTTTTAACAAGAAGGGAAATTTATCTGGTATTGATCTCTGAATCCAGATAAGTAATTCTCTTGCTCGTATTGGATTTTTTTCCATTGAGAGGAATGGCCAGGGTTCTTCTACTTTGCCTTTATTTTTTGCATAACCAGTACAATACAAAGAATAGTCAGGATTATACCACGACTCATAACTTGGTTTGTATCGGTTGATACGAAGAGTTTTTACTTCTGCTGACCGCATACATAACATTACCATCACATCTACTAGATTTTGCATCAAAGGAGGCTTGGTAGTATCACATTCGTTAAGTCTTTCTTGAACTTTTTCCAGGTAAAAGAACTCGGGACAATCGTAACCATTAATTCCACGAAGTATACATTTCCTTGCTTGAATCCGATTTGCTTCTTCAGTAATAAAGGGTATTTTTGTCGCTTCGGTAATGAGATAGTTAGCTCCTAAGCTACGCAATTCTTTCTGTAATAAATTAAGACGAGAATTTCCCGCAACAGTAGTGGGGGCAGAAGAAGCCAAGTCATATGCTATTCCATTTATTTCTTCAGGTGAGAGATTATTTTTTATAATATCTCGAGCAATAATTTTGATAGGGTCTCTTTCCCCAACATGTCTCCCAGGAGCTCGAATAGGAATAAGAGTATCAGCTTGCTCCTTACTCAATCCCAACTCTTGGAAGCGTCTTTTAGCCTGATCTCTGGCTTTTCGGGCCTGCTCTTTTGTCTTACCATCTGAAAGTTTATTAGCCAACTCTTCAGCATAACTACTAAGCTGGGGTAAACTAGTTTGAGGAGTCAATTTGTAGCGATTTACAAATGATGTAGCGATTTTTGCCATGGTTATTGTATTATAATTGAGATGTTTTATATAGACTATATTTGTCTGATATATACCAGTCGCAGGACATTGCAGATTTACAGGGGGTCAAGTGTCACTCATATATAAAATTAATGATCTTCGTGCAGCATAGTGGAAATTCTATTTATGTCACAATTTGATGATCACTGTGATAAATTTAATTTATGTTGTATGACGTAAATTCATAATTGTTTAAAGTACTCAAAATACGTCAGGTGTTGTTATGGGTAACACCATTCATTAAACAACCACTATGCTATGCATGAATTATTTGTGGAATTCCTTGGCGTAAATGCTATATACTCATTCTATAGATCCAAAAGAAGACATGAAAGGAAACGTTTTAAAAGGGCAGTATATTGAATTTATGGATATTCATTGCTTTTATATTGATTATTTGTATATCGTATTAACTTGACATTTATTATTTTTGCAATTTTATTTCTAAACCACATTCATAATGGAGCAGAAATATAAGTATCTCGGTTGGAATGATTTCGGAGTTGAGTATTTGACGACTAATTGTGATAAAACCAGGAAAGTGCGGTTCGCCTCATGGTTTGGCTATACAATCAATGTAAATGGGGAGCGCTATGGTTGCATGAGCAACATGTTCGAAATATATAAGCTGGTTTGCAAAAAGGCTTTGCGACAATCTTCTAGTACAATCTTATGAGAAACTTATGGGCAATTTGAAAAGATACCCGATGTGAGTATAATTGTTTGAATGATATTGCTTCATCCATAGTATCTGATGATAATTGAGAAACAAATTTCACTCATCTGAGATTTGGGCCCTGGTTGGTTAACTTGCAATGTGTGAGATTTGGGGCCCAGTTGGTTAATTTGTAATGTGAGAGATTTGGAAGTCCGATCAATGAGATTCTAACAACAAATTATATTGAATAATTTCACACTACCGACTCACATCTGAGATTCGGGCCCAGTTGGTCAATTTGTAGTGAGAAATTTGGGAATCTCATTGATGTGATATAAAAGGATAAATAAAATTTCATACTATTGATTCACATCTGAGATTTGGCTATTTTGTGGTGTATGAAATTTTAAGTCTGATGAATGGGATATAAAATGATAAATTATATATATATTTTTTCAAAGATTTAATCTCTTATTTTTTTAAAGAACAAACAGAGGACGCAATATATAACAACGGTCGAGGCTATAGGATCAATGGTTGGTTTAGACTATTGTGATTTCGGTTTGGTGATATATTTACCCATTACAAACGTCAATGTATTTCAGATTTCCCTCAAACTCGTAACCCTGATGGATATCAACCCTGTTTCTTCAAACAAACAAAAAATTGGAGAACGATTGGTAATATAGATATCTTTTTTTAGATGGTTCAAGTTTTTTACTTTTTTTATTCAATACTTTTATAGGATAAAATAATACAAGAAGGAGAATCAACCCATTTGTTTTTATTAAATAAGTTAAAGAAATCTTTTGTTGTTGATTGAGATTCCAATATAATTTTTGGAAAATTATTAAAAGAGCAAAAGAAGGACTTAAGGGAAATCATACGTTTGCCATACAATCAATTTGAAATGAGTCCTGCTGTTTCTGAATTAGTTAAACTTCTCTTAGAAAAATCCAAGAGCCTAAACAAAAGGGGAATGATGGTTTCGCTCCCACCTATACCAATGGATTTTGAAGGAGACAACGAAGAATTTGAAGATATATGCATAATGCATAAAATCGTAGACTCAATGTAGGTAATTGGAGCTCCTCTGTATCGATAATCAACTAACATCTAATCTCCATATTTTTACAGCCGGCATATCTGGTGCTACTATATGAATGACAACAAGGCTGAATATACGGAGGGAACATATATCGTTCGAATAGTGTCCAACTTTCTCGACCCATTGTTCTGCTACGAAAATACCAAACTTAAAATTATCTGGTAAGGTTCTAAATAATGTCTAGCCTTAGTAAAAAATTTATGAAATTCTATAACAAACTTTGCATGTGTCATAATAGGGCTGAAGAAGTTTCGGAGGCTTCTCAACGATGGATGGATGATTCTGGGGAACTCAGAGTCAGTCACAAACCTGATTTTTGGGTGAAGTCTTCGATTAATGCTGGTGATGTGGAAGTATGTCTTATGGAGGCTTTGCGTGTTCTTCCGACTGATAAAAAGATCTGTGATGACTGGGATAAGCTGATAAAGCTTATGAAAGACACTCACGTGCAGTTATTGAGGAAGCTCACTAGAGGAAGAGGTGGGGAAATGAAGGACCTGGAAGAAGATTTTAACAGAGTTCCAGTATTTGGTATCCAAGTTGCTGGTATGTAATGTCGCAATTGATTTTTTTTCCACTTATAAATAACCTTTCCTACTTTTAGGAGGGACCATGGCGTGTTGGGTTATGACTATGCCATTTGGAGCTTTCTACTTTGTTCAGCTTCTTGGATCAGTACAAATCCCTATGAATCGAGGCCAGTCTTCGCTTGCTGGATTTGTGAATGAATTATGAAAGTTGAGGGTAATCCTATCATCTTTTGACAGAATATGTGAGAGTTGGATGAACAAAGTCTTGGTAATTAATAGAATTATTTAATACGTAGGCAACCCTGCGGAATCATATCAGTATCATTAATAAGACTGTGGAAAAAGTTGATGGGTATTTATATAACATGGCTTTTTGCTCTCCACATTCTCTGGAAGATGCACCCCTTTATGGAGGAGAGTTAGTCACACCTAAGGTTGCGGGAGAAACTCCTCCAGAAATCAATCGACAGAGTTTCGACAGGTTACACATTAATTGTTTATTAGAGTTTCGGCAGAGTTTCGCATTTGGGGTTTTCGCCAATCATCAGAGTTTCGACAGGTTACACATTAATTGTTCATTAGAGTTTCGACAGAGTTTCGACAGTCATTAAGAGGTTTCGCCCACAACCTTAGGCATTCCTGACCCCATCATGGAAAAAATGTTGCATGATTTGGTCATGTTGTAAAGGGTTCCCTCAGCTACAATCAGATCCAAAACCCCAGGTCTGAAATTGAAAATTATTCAACACCACCAAAGATAAAAAAGGTAAGGTGATTGTCCAGTGAATGCCACCCATTCTTTATGTTTTGCTAGATACATATTGAGCCCTTTTTCTTTCAACACCTTGTGATAAAGGTTGCAGCAAAATCAGAGCAAGACTTGCTAGGATATTTTACCACATATTGAGAAAGATTCCCCTAAGATACAGCAAAGCAATAAATTCACTTAAAAATAGCTACTTAAAAAAAAAACACCATTTCAGAAGCATGTGCAACAATCTTAAGGTTGCTTTTACCTGAGCTTGAGAATCAAGATCTATGTTTCATCAGCTGACATCATTAAAAAATCATCCTTTTCTTTTTGGTATTGGTATGCTGACATTAATGTGGTTCACATAAACCAATCCTTTCTTTTTTAGAATTTGCTTTCAATAACAGAATCACTAACTATGTTAAAAAAAATATATATTTAGAATAATTTATAAGAATCTAATTTTATTTCTATTAAATAATTTTTACCATTATTTTCTGAATCATTATTAAAGCATCATTGTTTTTCTCAAGTTGTATATATTTCTCCTGGCTTTTTGTGATTGAATGTGAAAAAATCTATTTCCTTGTTCAATTTTTTGTTATATTAACAAAAATAATTGGTAATGATCAGTGGGGTGCATATCTCACAATAAAATAAAATTCAAAGTTCACCCTCATTTCTGCTAGAGTTTCTATTCATAAATTCATAATGCAAATTCTTATTCAAATTATTTCAAACCATTTGTTTTATTTCAAATAAGGATACCGACTGCAACTTTTGATGATGGTTGCTACAATCTTTGTGTCATATAAAAATGATTGGAAACACTGGTTGCAACCACCTTTACAACCATTTTGTTTCCTTTTTTGGATTGCAACATGGAACACTAATTTTGAATCATTCGTTTTGAACCATTTGTTTTATTTCAAATTGTTCGTTTTATTTCAAATCACTTGTTTTATTTCAAATTGTTCATTTTATTTCAAATCATTCGTTTTTATTTTATTTTGAATTATTTGTTTTATTTTGAATTATTTTATTCAAATTATTTCAAAATAATTTTTATTTTATTCGAATAGAAACCCTAGTTCTGGTCAAGGGCAAGGTTTTCCTTCCAGCACTATTATTGCAGAGAGAGCTAGTGTGGTTGATTCATAATCCTTTCTGGTGATTAATGGTTTGGCCAACCCTTTTGATTTTACTATATTGCTTTTAGTGATGCTCAAGTAGTATATTTCTATTTTTTTTTAGAGCATACAAATCTGTAAAGAAAATTGAGACACTTGACCAGAATTATTAATTAATTATAGTTTTTATGATTAAATGTATATTTGAAGGAAATTTCAAGTATATTTATACTTCTTGAAGTATCCAATAAAATATAATAAATAGAATGATTAATAATGAATGACTAATATTAATTATTAATGTTAAATGCCAAAATGCATCATTGATGCTCACATGAATTTGATTGACAACAATCGTAGTAAGTTTAATTCGTGATTCTTTTAAGAAGGAGTGAATTTTAATTAGTGATTGGTGGGGCGCATTTGTAACATTTTATAATAAAAATCATCCAGTTCGCTTTATGTTTCTATTGTAACATAATGTTTCCACTTGCATTTTTGTAAACAAACATTTGGATGTCAATAAACAGATTGTTATGAACATTTTTGTCAAAAAAAAATTTTTTTTGTTAAAGCCATTTTTGCACTATTTCAATCTTGATTGTGGATTATGGGTATTAAATCAACATAATACAAAATAATGGCTTGTCCAATTCTTTCTCGGCTGATTCTTTTTTACATTCTCTACTAAAATGTGTACTCATTTGCATCCAACTCACCTGCTTCTACTCTTTGTTTTAGATCTGTAAGCATTTCTTATCTACATTTCCTGACAAAAAATAGGCTCTTAGAAGTTGTTTTACTTCCAAAAATTTTGTTTTCACGAAGAGCCAACCCAGTTCAAAGTAATTCATTTTAAAATTAAAAATTTTTAATTTAACATCTAAAAAATATTTATTATATTAATTTTTTTCTCTATAATGGACCATTTGGTTTAGGAAAAAATGTCTGTTATAGACATGTAAATTGGGCTTTCCATTATTATTATATCAATTATATATAGAGTATGAACTGTGTCTTGTTCATTTTTTCAACTGTTTCATCTTCATTCCCAGGCATCATTATATGGCGTTTTCATTTTGTATATTTCAATTAATATTGGATAGTGAATGCATTGTTCAAAAATGCAAATTTTCATAGGGAGATAAGAAAAATATTTATTTAATATATACCTTTTGATTTTGTATAGGGTTTCTTCTCTAATCTCCTTTCATAATGTAAATGAGGAATGATTGAACCTAATGAAATTAAATTTTACTTTTAATAAGGGTTGGTTTAATTTTTAAAAAATTGGTTAGAGATCCTTATTTAAAATCAATGCAGATCACTCATTATTAAAAGAATCACGAATTAATATAATATATAGAAAAGGACATGTCACACGACTAATATATATTCCATGCGGGAAAATTGTATGGAAAAACTGACAAAATTTTTTATAGGGCTAATGGAATGGAACCACCAAACCTTGAGCTGAACAAAACAATTCATGTGAGATAATGACAACTATAATTTACACAATATGGAAATATGTATTACCTCCTTCCTTTACTTTTAATATGTTTACCCAAAATTTCAATATCCATAGTTTTTGAACCTTATATAAAAAATATTGCATAATGAAAAAAAATGATTGTTGTATGTATAGTAAATTTGTACTCGGAATGATCATTTTCCCAGCAACAAAATTATATACTAATGATCAATAGCTTATAATAATAATTGGGTCTCCACGAACAACCGTTATTTTCACATTATTATTGATCAATAGTTTATGACCGTGTGTGGGATAGTTGTAAATTGTGGTCATCAACCATTTGCTGTACCCCAGAGTGGTGTAGTAAAACCAATAGAGCAACGCGCATTACTGTTAATATATTCAGTCTTCACAAACAGCCACTTTTACATCACTTATTTGATGATTGTTACTTACTACCATAAAGGGACCCAAGGACAAGCACATTCGATTATTACACCTAAAAACAAAAACTTTGCAATGATCCTCACATGCCAACTAATCAGAAAAAACGTGATGAGGCCATGATAAATCGGATGATTTAGTGTATTAGAAATAGAAGAATTGCATGCAATGATTTCTGCTTTTGATCATAGGTATAGATTTCATGGTAGAATAACATTATGATTATATAATGTTGAGATTTGAAGAACAAAAAAAGAAAGCTACTATACAACAAATTAGCGGGAGAGTTTCTATAACTTCTGACATGTAGACTGCTAACAATTAAAAGTTTTTTACTGTATATAATTCTAATGTTAGCTCACAACATATATAACCAGAGCCATGATGGAGGCATTAGAAGAATATCAATTTGGTGTCAATGCTACCACAATGGTAGCTTATCGTCGTTTTTTTATCCAAAAGAACTAAAAAAATTACAATAATGAAAATGATAAATTTTCACATTATAGATGTGTTTCTCACGTTTTGAACCTTGCGGTGCAAGAAGGTCTTCAACTTATTGATGAACCAATAATAAAATTTAATGTCATATCTTTGATATTCAACATCTGCAAACAACCCTTTCGAAGAACTTACGTTCCATAAAAGAAATCAGTTACTTACCATCCTGAAAATCGATATTGTCACTCGCTGGAATTTGACATTTTATATGTTGAGAAAATTCATATGTTTACAACCAGCATTGTGGTGCTTCAAGCCAATAATAATAACTTTAGAACCAATTGTTCAGCTTCACCTTATTCCACACATGGCGATGTCAGATTTTGGGGGTTTGAACGCTTTGGAAGACTTAGAAGCTCATTGTAATGATGACGAATTTACTCAATGATTGCAAATAGCATTCATCACAAATTATGCGAATATTACCTCACAAATCTCTTCAATTTTAGATCCCCAATGTAAACTATCAGTTTTAAAGATAATGAAAAAGAGAATGTAATAAAAAATTTAGTTTTGGGATTATCTTCATAATGATAAAATACATGATTGCCTTTTCATCTAGTAATACTACTACAGTTGATTTGCATCAAAATACAAACTCTAACTTAGTCACTTATACATTACTGATATATATTATTTATTATAGTGTGAGTTAACTAAGCATTTGGGTGAATCAATAGAGAATAATATCGACCCTATTTCATGGTGGAAGCTGAGTATCCAATTCAGATTACCATAGTTCATGGCTGTCTACTGTTCAAGCAACAAGTGTTGCTTCTGGACAAGTTTTTTCTAAATTGTGGATTAAAAATAAAATTTGTAATCACACAAAATTTTATCTATTATTTTTATACATTAATATGTAATTCATGTTCAAAACACGATTAATCTGGTCTTAATCA